AGCTTGCTCCACCGTCCATGTGACAGCCCCTGAGATATTTGAAGATGGCTATCATATCTTCTCAGCTCCCACAACTGCTCCTCATAAGGCTCGGATCATCTTGGCTGCCCTCCTCTGCACACGTTCCAGCTTGCCAACATCTTTCTTAAAATGTGGTACCCAGAATTGGACACAGTATTGCAGGTTTGGCCTGACCAAAGCAGAATGCAGAAGGACCATGACTTCCCTGGATACTAGACTTCTGTTGATGCAGCCTAGAATTGCATTAGGAAAAGACCCTGATGTTGGGAAAGCACAAGGAGAAGGGGACGACAGAGGACGAGATGGTTGGATGGTGTTCTCGAAGCTACCAGCATGAGTTTGACCAAACTGCGGGAGGCAGTGGAAGACAGGAGTGCCTGGTGTGCTCTGGTCCATGGGGTCACGAAGAGTCGGCCTAAACGACTAAACAACAACAACAACAACACCTGAGAATATTCTGCTATTCTATTCTGTTTAATGCAAGAAATAATTTTAGTAGCCATGACCGTGGTTTTATTGTATGTCTGTGCCTGATTATTTTTATGGTTATTGTTGTTTTTTCTTTTTTAATTTTCTTTTCTTTTCTCCTTCTGAATCATGCCATGGCTTATGGCTAGTGCAATAAAAAGTTTAATTGGAATTGGAAATTGGTCTACTAAGACCCCTAGATCCTTTTCACTTGTACTACTGGTAATCCAGTTTCTTTTCTTCTTCTTTTTAATCAAAGCACAATTGAGCCAAACCTCCTTGAGCCTCCTGAGTTTTCAGTTGTTGGCCAGAATGGACCACATTATTCTGAAAGTTCTATTTCAGCCACCGGAGGGCTCCCATTTTTATTTCTCCATTTCTCTCCCAGAACTGCCTAAATGAATAAAGGGGGGGTGTGTGTAGGTAATTTAACGAACAGCCCAGTATGTAGAGAATAAACTTCTGGTGTGCTGCCTCAACAGAGCAGTATGGTGCTTGCTCCTTGCTCAGAATGGAAAGCAGGAAATTAAATGAGTAGCTATAGATAATCTGTCTCCATAGAACATTTAGAGAAATAACTGAAGCCATACTATGCAGCCTTAACTATGTCGAAGAGCAACTGTGCTAAAGGCATCTATTGAGGGCTTTCCAGATATCAGGTGTCAGCAACACCTGGGAGACTTAAGGACTTGTTCCAAGGACATCTGTGAGCATGGAGCAATAGACAGACAGCCCAGCTAAGCAGCATCATATTCATGCCCCACAATTTGTCCAGGTTTCCTCTGTGTACCTACCCTTCTCATATTGTTTCATAACTAAGAATAGGGGCATACCAAAGTTTGTTGCTCAAGGATCCCCTTTCCACATTAAGGATCTTCTGCACCTGCTCTGCATGGTTTGAGTTATCCTGCAATAACTTGGATCACTGCAATGCACTCTCCGTGGGGCTGCCCTTAGGCCTGGTTCAGAAGCTCAAGTTGGTGCCAAATGTTGTGGTCAGATGGGCGCATCTGGCTGAAAACATGTGGCAGCATTGTTAAAGCATCTGCATTGGCTGCCCATCTACTGCTTAGCAATATTTAAGGTCTTTCTTTAATTTAAAGATAAAGGTAAAGGTAAAGGGACCCCTGAATATTAGGTCCAGTAGTGGCCAACTCTGGGGTTGCAGCACTCATCTTGCTTTATTGGCCAAGGGAGCCAGCGTACAACTTCCGGGTCATGTGGCCAGCAGGACTAAGCCGCTTCTGGCGAACCAGAGCAGCGCACAGAAACGCCATTTACCTTCCTGCCGGAACAGTACCTATTTATCTACTTGCACTCTACTTGCACGTGCTTTCAAACTGCTAGTTTGGCAGGAGCAGGGACCGAGCAATGGGAGCTCACCCCTTCGCGGGGATTCGAACCACTGACCATAACTTAGTTTCAGTGGACCCCCAGGGACCACCTTTATTGCAGCTCGATCACTGAGATCATCTGCAGGTGTGCTACTGGTTGCTTCCCGAGCTGGTGAGGCTCATTCGACAACAACAAAAGGCAAACCTCTAGTGTCACAGGCCCAGTCTTGCGGAATACCCTGATAACAGAGATTCAGCAGGCACCTGCTGTTTCAATTTTTACATGCCTGCTGAAAACTTTTCTATTCTGCTGGGCTTATGCAGGCAATTAAGAGCACATCTGAAATATACTCAGAGTCGCGTAGTGATTTCATGCTCTTTATTGCAGCTCAAAAAACAGTGAATGAATTTCCCCCCAAACCTCAGGCTTTATATACATTATTTACACAACGAGTCCCGTCTGATTGGTTGCTTATGTTTCCCTCCTGGAGCCTGATTGGGCTGCTGTTGCAGGCCAATCCGTTGTTACATTCTAGGTTCCTACCTGCCTATTGTTCTAGGATCCAAGCTTAGTACATAACACCCATCCCCTCTAAGTTCCCGTTGTGGCCGGAAGGTTAGTATTTATAGTCATTGAGGTATGTCGGTCACCTACGTATGCGTTGTGGTCTGGGGTGTCCGTCAGTAGGGGTTCCTGGTTCTGGCTCTTGTTCTGGGGCTGCTGGCTATGGAGGGACCGTTGGGTCAGGCACCGCCTGTCCGCTCGGTCGTGGCTCTGGTTCTTGTGGCCGCTCAGCCTCGGGGGTCACCTCTGGGCTTACTCGTTCTGCCTCCCTTACCCCCTCCTCATGCTCTATGGGCCTCACCTCCCAGCTGTGCCCTTGGGAATCCTCTGTCCAGCCCTCCTCCTGGCTTCCCCCCGGGAATTGTCACCGTATTTGATTTGGGCTGCTGCTGCAGGCCAATCAGTTGTTGCATCCTAGTATCCTACCAGCCTAATAGGCTGATTAACTTCCTCCTGGGGTCTGATTGGGCTGCTCCTGCAGGCCAACCAGGTTATTGCATTCTAGGATCCTACCTGCCTATTGTTCTAGGATCCAAGCTTAGTATAGTAGTGGTACCTCTGGATGTGAACGGGATCCATTCTGGAGCCCCGTTCGCATCCTGAAGCAAACGCAACCCACATCCGTGCATCTGCGGGTTGTGATTTGCTGCTTCTGCACATGTGCGTGATGTCATTTTGAGCATCTGCACATGCGCGAGCGGCAAAACCCGGAAGTAAAGCGCTCCGTTACTTCCGGGTTGCCGTGGAGCGCAACCCGAAAATGCTTAACCCGAAACTACTTCAACCCGAGGTATGACTGTACATAACAACATCCTTCTACACATAGGAGCCAACTCTTAGAGGCTGAGGTCCTTCGTCCCCCCATAAAATATTTGAGGGGGCCAGCCCCTCCCAAGTTGACAGGCATTGCAATTCAAACAGTATGTGTGCACCATGTCATGTGATTGATTATGTGGATGTGGGGCTTACCTGGCCCCCCAATATTTTATTCAAGTTGGCACCCCTGACTGGCCATGCCCCTTCATGATGATGTGCCCATTGGCCACCCCCCATTTGCAATGGCATCTGAGCATTCGGTCTCATGCACAGGGATTGGTGAATACAGGACTCCTCCATGCCCCTGTTGTAGGGAGGAGTGATAAAGCATGCAGATCACCATGCATAGGACCCATTCTAACTGAAGCCAAATGTTCTGCTAATAGAGCATGGGGCTATGACCAGCACATCTGTTCCCAAATCCTCCTTATGTATCATAAGATGAGAAACACCCTTGTGTGGTGTTTCAGTAACATCCAGCATGTTGACATGCAAACCCACCAGGATCAAGATGCACTCAAACTTCTAAAGATTTAATAAAGTGGGTTGAAATATGAAAAACTAGAGACAAATTAGGGACCAGCGAGGTAATATATATATATATATTTACACCCCATCCATGGGAAGTAAGGATAAGTGTATTGCCTGCCTTGTTATTCTCTTCCTGCAGCCTGCTATCAGTCTCTGTTGTGTTATGAGTCCACTCTGAGACACTTCTGTGATTAACAGGGAACAATGCGCTGAATTATAGGGGGAAACGTTCTTGGAAGGATTCAGGCCAACACATCACAATCAAGCACAACATTTATCTTTGCCTGCCAGTCTCGTCCTTGGGCGTAGCTCAGACACCCATCCATTAGATGACTGGGGAACTGCTGATTTCTTACTGAAAGAAGAAAGTATCTGTGTGTATACAAAGAAAGAGCTGCACAAACATAAAGAATGCTACTATAACTGGAATGAGTTGTTCTGGGTCCTGAGAATTCAAACAGTGGTGCTCAACCATGGTAGCATCCTGCTAGCATTCTCCCAACCACAACTAGCCACCTTATTTCCATTTATACCGGCTTGAGCTTTCCCATCTTTGCCTCCTGGGAGCCAAAAAATCTTACATTGAGGGCCTGGGTTAGACTAGCAGGCAGCAGGGGACTCTCATATACACAATCTTGTACAGGTCACATAACTCACACGGGAGCATGGATGCCCCAGTTTGGGGCCTCAACATGTTGAAGGGCATTCTTTCAGGCACTGAAAAATGTTTTTGACCAGTCCTGTGGTTTGAAGGTGACCCAGAAACTGCAACTAATCCAGAACGCGGCAGCTAGACTGGTGACTGGGAGCGGCCGACGAGACCACATAACACAGGTCCTGAAAAACCTACATTGGCTCCCAGTACATTTCAGGACACAATTCAAAGTGTTGGTGCTGACCTTTAAAGCCCTAAATGGCCTCGGCCCAGTAGACCTGAAAAAGCGTCTCCACCCCCATCATTCAGGCCAGACACTGAGGTCAGCACAGGGGGCCTTCTGGCGGTTCCCTCACTGCGAGAAGCGAAGTAACAGGGAATCGGGCAGAGGGCCTTCTCAGTAGTGGCGCCCTCCTTGTGGAACGCCCTCCCGTCAGATGTCAAAGAAATAAACAACTATCTGACTTTTAGAAGACATCTGAAGGCAGCCCTGTTTAGGGAAGTTTTTAATGATAGAAGTTTTATTCTGTTAATATTCTGTTGGGAGCCACCCAAAGTGGCTTGGGAAACTCAGCCAGTTGCGTGGATTATGAATAATAAATGATGATGATGATGATGATGATGATGATGAGTAGTAGTAGTAGTAGTAAAGTAATTAGTAGTAAAGTGGCCTCCTTGGTGAGCGATGCTGTCAGTCTCTTTTCTGGCTGGAAATCATGGAGACTGAATTCTAGTTCCCGTGATCGCTAGAAGAAAATGTCAACAATGCATGTTTGGGACAAGTGTATGGACAATCACCCATCTCTAAAACTTTCTACATATACAGTATATGCTCTGCCACAGAGTTATAGCCGTTCCATATAATGTAATAAAGCCACTTCTGCTTAAATTAAGGCAGATGCAAACAACAGCTTCTGGTCATCATTTTTTAGGTGCTTGTCAAAGGATGGTGCATCATAGCGCCGTAAAAGAAAACCCACATTATTTTTGACTGCCTGTTCTTTCCTGTGGCTAAAAAACTCCACAGCAAAACAAGGTTTTAAATTATTATTTTTTTACTACATTTAGTTTAGGGCTTTTGCTGTCAGCTTAGACAGGAGTGTGGGATCCATCTTGTGTCAGTTACTGTTACTAGCAATTTTCTAATGCCAGCTTATCAGTGTCCCTTATTAATACTTGCTGTATTATAATTTAGCTCTAGGTGTTCATTTGTTCATGAAAGCAGCTATTAAGTATCTTCATAGACATCGCTGCCTATCAGTCAATGACAAAGCATAGATACATTAGCTGTAGGAGAGTAACTGTGGAATTCAATTAACTTATTAATAAGACATCAAGATGTTTTAGAGCTTGCTATGGGATATGATCTACTCAGATAAATCTTCTGGAGTATATAAGTGGCAAGTGGAATGAATCTCCTTGTAAGTGACATTGAAGACACCAAGTTTGGAGGGTCTTAATTCATGCATTGTGCATGCCTGGTTGCATTCCAGAAGTGGCCATGATGGAGGGAGGTTCAGAAGGGCAAATGGGGCACTGCCCCACCAACCCTCAGGCCCTCTCCCTTGCCTGCCTTCTTACTTACAAACAATCCAGAGGGTGGCTTGGCTTTCAGCTTCCTCCTTCTCCTTAGCCTCTGTTTGACCTTTATAGAACTCAGCAGGGAAGAGTATGGGGACAAAATGAGAATTAGGTGGTTCTGCTCGTCATTGTCTCTGGCTCCATCTACTGATGACCTCCAGCCTCACGCCCTAAAATCCCCTAAGGCAGCGGTTCTCAACCTGTGGGTCCCCAGATGTTGTTGGACTACAACTCCCATCATCCCTGAGCTCTGGCCTTGCTAGCTAAGGGTGATTGGAGTTGTAGTTCAACAACATCTCGGGACCCCCCAGGTTGAGAAAGGCTAAGGCACCAGCCACCATTGTGACATACCCTCCAACATCTCAGGTAGGCAAATTGGGCTGTTCATCGTCACCAAGTCCTATGGAAGTGAGTTTCAAAGATCAAGGATTCAACCCCATAGAAGCCATTTTTTAAATTCACTGTAAAGTGCTAATCTCCAGGTTGTTCTCTAGATTTCACATTATGCATAGCTATTGCTTTCATTGTTGATACCAAAAGTAATAGTAAATTATTAATAGCACTTTCACTGCTGAAGGGGAATTTGAATGATCTCCAGTCCCCCGCAGAGTTATGAAGAATCTTTTCTGCAGTGGATGACTTATTAATTATTATCATTATTGCAGATTAACATATGCAGGTTCTCTCTCTCTCTCTCCCTCTCTCTCTCTCTCTTTCTCCCTCTCCCTCCACACCATCAGTTTTCAATGGCATTAAAACTTAAAACATTTAAACACCCCAGTTTATAAATAAAGCACAGATGAAGAAGGATTTGGGGAGGGGGAGATGCAGAGAGGGGGAGATTTAAAGCAAAGGAACCCTGCATCTCCCACGGAAACCAGAGGAATCATACTATTTCAGGACACATTTTAGAACCATTCGCTTTAACAATGGCTCTGTTGGAGTTTTGCAAGAGAGTTGTCTTCTACGTAAATACAAGCACTAAACCACAATGCATGATCCCTGACAATTCCATGACTTTGGAGGCAATCCTATGGCAGTATCTACCCATCGGATGAGCAGCTGTGGATATGGCTGATCTCTGAACCCAACCCAGGCTCGATAAAAGATGCAAGACTGTCAGAGGCAGGTTTAAGGCAGCGCAACTGGTTCTGCCACACTGGGAGCAGAGCGTAGGGGGTGTTGCAGGGCATCACAACTATGATGTAGTGAATTGAGCAGAACGGAAGGCGAGAGAGGTTTTTTTGGGGGGGGCACCAAATTTTAGCCTTGCACAAGGTGCCACCGAAATTTGAAAGACCAAAGTCTGTCCCTGCCGGTGTTAAGTTGCTCTACCCAGATCAGTCAGTGCTCAGCTGGCTTCCTCATAGCTGGCAGGACCAAGGCTGGTGCAAGTTCCCCCAAAAGGAGTCTTCGAGGGATGTGGCCAATGTGTGTGTGTAGGGGGGGAGAATTGGGCTGGCTCCTAAGTCCGTTTCGTTTAGTCACGTGACTTGACAGTGAGAGCCAGTGTGGCGTAGTGGTTAAGAGCGGTAGTCTCATAATCTGGGGAACCGGGTTTGCGTCTCCGCTCCTCCACATGCAGCTGCTGGGTGACCTTGGGCCAGTCACACTTCTTTGAAGTCTCTCAGCCCCACTCACCTCACAGAGTGTTTGTTGTGGGGGAGGAAGGGAAAGGAGATTGTTAGCCGCTTTGAGATTCCTTCGGGTAGTGATAAAGCGGGGTATCAAATCCAAACTCCTCTTCTTCTTGGCAAGCTGCTATAGAACACTATTTTAGAGGGTTGATTTCCATCTGCCTGGTTTAGGCAGAGTATCAGCAGCAGTCTTCATGCTGAACAGGGTTTGGATCTGGTGTAACTTTATGCTGGCTGCATTTAACCAGCTTGCTTCATGCCAGCTTCTTCTGTATAGGATTTCCACATTAACTAATTTCTTTGGATTTGTTTCCTGTCTCATCCTAAAGAGGTGCAATTAACAACAATTATAGTAATAGTTCAGTAGTGATTTAAAGGATTCATAGTTCATCAGGTACATTCCATTTTTGAGCTCCACAGCTTGGAATTTTATTTTATTTTTAATACTTAGAACATGTGTGTTTATCATAAGCACCGTATGATTAAAAAGTGCAAGTTCAGCTTTGGTTTGCTAACGCTTCACAGAATTAACATTTTGGCCTTCTTTTTATTAATTGCTGTTGCTTTTATTAATTGCTGCTGATGTTCTAACTGCTATAATTAAATTTAAAGGGGTGGTGTAATGCGGTTTTAATTGTCCAATTATTTTATTGTGCTTTATCACCATCGTTGTTCTATTTTGTACAATTTTGTGCACTGCCTTGAAGGGAGAGCTGCACTCTAAAAGGAATATATAAATTAGGTCATCAATAATAATAATAAAAATGAATTAACAATAATTCAGCAGTATAATATATGAATGGCAATGCACTTTATGCAGACTGAACACTGCCACAAATATATTCCTCTCCTTACATTATGTCAGGCGACTGAACCCTCTGCAATGGACTCCTTCTCATGCTGCCTGGGTTATGGAAGGTGACCTGTGTCATGTGGGAGGAGCCTGTGATGTAGCTCCTCCCCCTATTTTCTAGAGGAGCCACCATGTAGTAGGCCCTGTCCACATGATTCAGGGCTTCTCATGAGAGCTAGGCAGCAAGGTTCAAGCCTCATGTTGGGTGAAAGATTCCTGCATTGCAGGGAATTGTACTAGAGAATCCTCATGGTCCCTTCCAACTCTACAATTCTATGATTCCATGAACTGAAGAAACTTCCACAGAGTCCTAGCAATACATGAAAAAAATGATCAATGGTAACAATACAGTGGTTAGACACAGTGGATGTCTGAAAATTAGTTAGATGGAGAATTAGCCAGGATGTGGTGAGGAAAAGTCATAGAAACATTTTTGTTGTTTAGTCGTTTAGTTGTGTCCGACTCTTTGTGACCCCATGGACCAGAGCACGCCAGGCACTTCTGTCTTCCACTGCCTCCCGCAGTTTGGTCAAACTCATGCTGGTCACTTCAAGAATACTACTGTCCAACCATCTCATTCTCTGTTGTCCCCTTCTCCTTGTGCCCTCAATCTTTCCCAACATCAGGGTCTTTTCCAGGGTGTCTTCTCTTCTCATGAGGTGGCCAAAGCACTGGAGCCTCAGCTTCAGGATCTGTCCTTCCAGTGAGCACTCAGGGCTGATTTCCTTCAGAATGGAGAGGTTTGATCTTCTTGCAGTCCATGGGACTCTCAAGAGTCTCCTCCAGCACCACAATTCAAAAGCATCAATTCTCCGGTGATCAGCCTTCTTTGTGGTCCAGCTATCACTTCCATACATCACTACTGGGAAAACCATAGCTTTAACTATACGGATCTTTGTCAACATGAACACCCCCTTCATGGATCACTGCCTTGTCATGGCAAAGGGGCTTAAATAACTCAGAGAAGCAATGAGCTATGCCGTGGAGGGCCAAGCAAGATGGACAGGCCATAGCCGAGAGCTTAGACTAAATGTGATCCACCTGGAGAAGGAACCGACAAGCCACTCCAGTATCCCTGCCAAGCAAACTCCATGGACAATAACAACAGGCATAGAAACATAGAATCATAGAATTGTAGAGCTGGTAGGGACCCCCAAGGAACATCTAGTCCAGTGCCCTGCAATGCAGAAATCTCAACTAAAGATGGCTGCAAGTCAATGTCTTGTGGACCACTTTATTAAGTGTTTTGCAGGCAAAGCCTATGCAGAACCACTAAGCTACGTATGGTCCAACCCCACCCTTCATAGGCAAGAAATAGTCACCTTGAAAGTTGAGTGGTCTTCTTTGGTGCCTTGGCATGGCAAGGCCTGGGGTACAGTAAGTACAGTGGCACCTCAAGTTTAGAACTTAATTCGTTCTGGAGGTCTGTTCTTAACCTGAAACTGTTCTTCACCTGAAGCATCACTTTAGCTAATGGGGCCTCCTGCTGCCGTTGCGCCACCGCTGCACGATTTCTGTTCTCATCCTGAAGCAAAATTCTTAACCCGAGGTACTATTTCTGGGTTAGCGGAGTCTGTAACCTGAAGCATATGTAACCCGAGGTACCACTGTAGTGGGTCTTACCTAGTGTGAAAGTCCAGGTTTGCAGTCCTTCCCAGAAGATTGCTCCTCCAACTGTTTTCCTAACAGATGATTGCAAATGATAGCTAACTGTCCTGTCTTCCTGGCTCCGAAGGAAAGATATTTCTTGGCACTAAGCAATGTTGACCCAGCAGCTCAGGGCTCTACTCTGAGTTTTTCCAGTGTTGTGCCAGGCTCTCTTATCTTGCTCCATTTGCCTTTCCTGTAGCACCATCCAATTATTCTCCTTAGGACATTGGTTCCATACCAATGAGCCTACAGAGGAAATCTTTCCAAAACGCGTGCGCAGTGAGAACCTTCGTGTCCTTCCACTCTGAATAATATAACGATGCTGAGGTTTCTTTTCTTTTCTTTTCCATTTTGAGGACACTGCTGACTCATGAGAAATCTCTCTTGCATACTGATCAGAAGAGGCAATCATTCAGGTCATTTGATTTTAATGTGCACTTCACAATATTGTTAACCTTTCAGCGCTCATTGCCTGCATTCCCTTATTGCAGTTCAAATTGATTGCACAAGGGTGGCACAGAGAAGAACCCAGACATTCTACACGAAGGAAGAATCACCCATAAATAAAGGGTTAGGCTGGATGGCTTACTGAGCATGAACTTAGGTCTTATGAATGGGTTCAACGAAAAGCGCTGATTAATTCGCTTTGCTCCCAGCTATGCTGGGCCCGTCATCTTCCATATGACACCAGAGCAGCTAATCCTATGAAATCAAGAGGTGCTTTGTCACTTTGCTACACAGGCCCATTACATCATGAGGGTTAGTGTCTGGTGACATGAGGGTTGTTCACATGTTACACTGAACACTTGTACAGGGTGGGAAAATGGACACTTGTTGATTTGTACAGATCAACTATTGTATACGCATGTACACAAGCTTATACACTCATTTAGCATAACATGTGAACATCCCTATGGTGAGTACAGTTATACTTTTTTGGAGGAGAGCTGTCTGCGAAATTGATAAATGATGCTCTTGATCAGGGATTGCCAACCTGGTGCCCATGGGCACAATGACACCCGCTGGACTTCCTCTGGTGCCCACAAAGCCTCTGGACTCCCCCACTCACTGTCCCTTGGGTCATGAGGTGGTGAGGGTGGTTACTTTTCTCTCTCTTGAAAAGAACAAAAGGAGGAAGTGATGC